TGCTCCTTCCTTGAGCATATGCCATCGACGACTGCCCTCCAGCGTTGTCTGTTCTGTGCTACCATCGCCAGCTGCCCTCGTTGCACCAAATTCTGTGACCCACCGAATTATGTGACCATAGAAGGCACTGTATTGAGCTAATCCAACCTACTCCTAAACCAAATCCTAAACCTACCCTCACTACAGCGCCTGCTAGGTCACAGATTTCGGTGGAACACCGAACGCATTTTTTAGGTTCAAAAAGAAGACATGTCCGGGACGTATGGTCACCATATCTTAATATGTTTGTTTATACTTAATGTCCAACTGTAGAGACCTGGATAACCATTTTTTATATAGTTGGCCATGAGATAAATTTATTTGAGTGCCATTGTTATCCAGTTTGATTTTTATTTATATATTGATTAGGCCAAACTGAGCCATAAATGTAGAGGAAATAAGAAAACCATTCAAATGTATAATTCAGACATAAATCAAGTGAATATTTATTGCACTAAATCAAACAATGGCTGTTTTTTTAAGAGGTGGAGTCTAAGTGTACACTTACACTAACTCATGTTAAAGGCTTGGTAATATGTGTTAACAGTTAAAGGAGGTCACACATTGTGCTGTGAATGATAAACTGTTAAAGCACTTTTTCGAGCTGTCAGAGATTAAGCAAGCAGACATGGACACTCACGGGAAACAAGGTGAAGTTTACCTGCAACATCAGAAACATGGCGAGGTAAGATTAGAATGTTGTCATTTATTTTCTGGTATTGAGACGGGCAGATGTTTTTGTGTTTGTCAACCTCAAGTCTAAAACTACAAAATGGTCGTAGCTGATCTAAATAAAACAGTTTTATTAAAATAGTTCAGAGTTTACAATGATGTTACACTTAGTATTGATATTATAGTTTGTAGCATTCAGAAACATTGGAAAAACAAAGTAGGGTAGTCATATAAAAATATATGATTTTAAGCCTGATGGTATTTGCTTGTACTTTTTAAATATAGCTCACCATGCCCCTGTGTTTTGGCATGAACTCTCTGGTGTAAGTTTATTTTCTGGTATGAGATAGCTGGAACGGGACTAACAAGTTTCTACAAGTTGAAACTTGGTGTGCGCATCTCTGTCTTGCGTTTAGAATTACAGCACATTCCACTGACAAAAACACGCCCTCATGAAAGTGCACTTCACATACTAGATTCAGGCCATGCCTTACACACACACACAATACATGTGAGGTAAATGAGGGATTGGCAAGAGGGAGTAATTGCATCCATATCTCCAACGTGACGTGCTTTTTAAGAACTTTTTAATGCTAATATTTAGCAATCCAGAGGTGTGTTCATTACCTGAAGCACAAATTCCACCTGATGGATCCATCAGTCTGACTAGATCTTATCAAATGTTATAAATCTAACTGTCATTGTATTGCAGAAATGGATGAAGGAAAATAATACAAGTAATAATTTTCTATTTGTTTTTAACAGAAGTGGAAGCGATATTGGTTGGCCCTTCATCCGGCTAGTCGGCATGGCGTGGCACGGTTAGAATTATCAGAAGCCGTTCATGAACGGTCAACTGTGGTGGTCAGACGACATCCAGAGAGGAAAGTTGTACGTCTGGCCGACTGTGTGAGTGTCGTCAAGCTGCCGCCTCATGCAGAGGCTTGTCCAGGGGAAAACATGGCTGCTTTCTGTGTGGAGATGGAGGACAGGAGGCTTGTGTTTGCAGCAGAGAAAGAAAGCTGTGGAGAATGGGTGGACATAATATGTAACAATGCCTTTCAGGTGAGGGTTTGGATTTTTCAGATATATTGTTATTACACACTACCATTCAAAGGTTTGGGGTCAGATTTTTTTTCAAAGAAAATACTTTTATTCAGCAAGGATGCACTATACAAAAGAGTCAACATAAGTAAAGGTACTTCTGATGTTACACGAGATATCTATTTTAAATAAATGTTGTTCTTTTGAATTTTCTATTCATTAAAGAATCGTGAAAAGATCACAGTTCCCACAAAAAAAAAAAAAAACACCAAATCAGCATATTACAATGATTTCTGAAGGGTCATGTGACACTGAAGACTGGAGTAATGATTGCAAAAATTCAGCTTTGCCATTACAGGAAACATTTTTTAAAAATATATTTAAATTTAAAAGCTTTTAGTACTGTATTTTTACAGTTTTTACAAATTAAATAAATGTAGCCTTGGTGAGCATAAAACAGACTTCTTTAAAAAACTTTTTTTTTTTAATCTTAGGGACCCCGAACAGTAGTGTATGAAAAAAAAAAGTTCAAGAATCTAATAAAATGAAAAATGCAGATCATTCCAGCCACATAACTGGTTATGTAATGTACTGAAGCCTTTACTCCACTCCCTGCTTGTGTTTCTCAATTGTATTCATCATTTCACAGAAACACACTAAAAGTGTGCCACATCCGGTACCTCTTATGGAGGACAATCAGATCTACATGTCCAGAGAACAATGTGAGTACAAACAAAGGTCAAATGTATCATTCACGCTGTCATGTTCCTGAAAGGCCAGTCCCACCACTTCCTACAGTATGTCATTGCTGTATAAAGAGTGGGTTTTTTTAAAACAAGACAGCAGACAACTCTAAACCACCTTCATGCAGATCTGGTTTAAAACAAAAATATATGGTATAACCTTTGACCTCCGAATCACAGCTTATGTTTAATTTTGAGCTCAATGTCTCTTTCATTTTAGTGTGCGATTTTAAAGTGGTTGTACTGCAGAACGAGGCTTCAGTTCGATGTGGTCTGAAAGGACAGTACTGGCTACAAGCTGGTGAGGACATGCTAGTTCTTCAAGATCTGGAGACCAGGAGGACTGTAATGGAGTGGCCATATAAGCTGCTGCGCCGCTATGGGCGAGATAAGGTCAGCAGAAAAATACTTAATGTACATAACAGAAATAAGATTAAACAAATTTATTTAAATAAAATACAATCAGATGTGATGCTGCTTTTTTTTTTTTTTTAGAGGAAATTATAAGGTAACTTCATAATTTTAAGAATAATTACCATAAAGGTACATGTATATTCTTGTTGAATATTATTAACTAAAATAAATTATTTGTTAATTACTTTAAAGCGTTATAATTATACACTACCAGGCAAGAGCTTGGGGTCAGTAAGATGTTTAAGTTGATAAGACTTTTATTCCATAAGGGCTCAACTGATCAAAAGTGACAGTAAAGGCATTTGCAATGTTATAAAAAAAAATATTTCAAATTAATGCTGATCTTTTGAACTTTATATTCATCAAAGAATCATGAAAAAAAATCACTGTTTTTACAAAAAATATTAAGCTGCACTACTGTTTTCAACATTGATAATAATAAGAAATGTTTCTTGAGCACCAAATCAGCATATTAGAATGATTTCTGAAGGATCATGTGACACTGAAGACAGGCGTAATGATGCTGAAAATTCAGCTTTGCCATCACAGGAATAAATAACATTTTTAAATATATTAAAATTGAAAACAGCTGTTATAAATTGTAATAATATTTCACAAAATTACAGTTTTACTGTATTTTTGATCAAATAAATGCAGCCTTTGTGACAAGAAAAGACTTTGTTCAAAAACATTAAAAACCAACCCAAACTTTTGAACACTGTCTCTCAAAAATAATTTTAAAAAAACTACATTTTACAAAATTTTACAGTAAAATTACATATATTATGGTAAACTCTTTTTTTCCAATATAAGGTCACTAGTTAACATGTTAAATGAGTGCTTACAAATATTTTTGACTTTCTCTCTGTTCCTTTCTAGATGCTGTTTTCTATAGAAGCAGGCAGGCGCAGCGAATCGGGCCCTGGAACCTTTGACTTTGAGACCAGACAGAGTGACGAGATCCTTCGCCTTACTGAGTCGGCTATTCGCTTACAGAAGAGCCTTGCCGTTACTGGAGACAGGCACTCGCCACATTCTCCACGTTCTCGTTCTCCTCGCTCACCCCTTCCAAGACGCCCTGATAGTTTTACTTTGCTTGATACGGAGGGCAGCAACAGCCCTCAGCCTTCAGACACAAAACTGCCCTTGAACCCTAATCCAGCAGATGTCCTTGGCCCAAATATATATGCTGTACATACAAAACCTGCAAGTCCTATTGGCTTAACCGAACCTGCGTATGCAAACCCTGCAGATTCCATTTGCTCCTTAAAAAGCACACACTCAGATCCTGGTGGCGGTATTAGCTTGATTGAGCCTGTGTATTCAAATCCTGCGATTTTAATAGGCAGACATGAACCTGTGTATGCAGATATAAAGACAGATCCTCTCCCATCTCATCATTGGGATGAATCAGAACCAGTGTATTCTGATCCTGCAGATGTCATCCGCCCGAAACTTAACAATTGTGTCTATGCCAACCCTACTGACACGATGGACTGCCGGCCTGTCAAGACAACGCCAAACAATGACAAGCAGCAAGAACCGGTGTACTCTGAGGTGTACGACCATGTCAAACTAAACACAAGTAAAAGACTTGACCAGACTGAAGAGCCCATTTATAGTGTACCTGAGTTTGTACAATCAACTAAAAACGACAGCTCTCAACAAAACAAAATGCCTGATGAAAACCAATCCATCTACAACAAAGTTTACAAACCACCCAAAACCCCTCACCCTCTCCAAGAAAAGAAGCTAAGCCAAACACCAGAGGTTGTCTCTGAGGACCTTGGAATGATTTAATTAAATCTGTAATATAAAGTCTTTACAAGTAGCTCTTAATATTTAATATTTGAAATGTTATCCCCCCCACCCACCCAATAATGTCATTATTTATTAATCCATTCTACAAAATATTGTGGAATGATGACTTCATATAAATTTGCTATTGTGAAACATTGATGCACATTATGAAATAAGTTTTTTAGTATAATGTTTTTTATTTTTATTTTGTTTTTGTTTTACAAGCCCAAATATGTCGCATGTATTGTTTATATATTTTCTTGTACCAAAACAGAATTAAATGTTTATTTTATGAGATGTATGCATCTTTCAAAGAATGGCTTCAATGGCTAAAATCTCAGCAAAGGTCAGATCATTTAAAAAATAAATAATTCCGGTATCCAGTCAAAAAAAATTGAATCGAAATGATATGGGTTTATAAATGAGAGACAATTTTCATTTGGGGTGAACCTTTAAAAAGCCACAAACAAACGGTTTAGCCGAAATTAATCCAACTATAGGCTAACTGACAAAGTGGCCAAGACAATAATCATAGTTTTATTCATTCAGTAAATGTATTGAACAGTGTCGACACTAGATTGGTGTGCGCAGTAAAAGAGCCTTTATGGTTTTTACGTCACTACTACTGACCGGAAGTGCTGAGCGATGTCAAACCCGAGCGAATGATTGTTATTCCCACGATGTTTTGAAGACGTGTCTTTACATTTCTGAATTCTGTACCATTTTCATCCAGCTCCCAAATCATTGAACGTTTACTGAAACGTGCTGTAGGACGCTTAAACGTTAACCATGTCCAATCGCATCGCTTTCCACACTCAGCTAGCTTCCATTATGGAGGTGCTGGCAAATGCAGCGGTGGCTGAGATATGTAAACTCGTAGACGACGACTACGCGGTTATAAATTTACAGATGACTCAATGTCAGCGTGAAAACAAAGCGCTGAAGAGAAAACTTCACATACTGGAGCTTAAGATGGCACGAGGATTCGCAGAGAGGAGGATTAGTTCACTGAATCGCGCTAACCGGGTTCAAGTGAGCGCCGCTTTGTCAGACAAATACAGGAACCAAACTAACGGTGTGTGATCATGAAACCTTACATGAACTATTCTACCGCCAGTGTCTCTGTCACACCAAATAAATTATAAAGCCTAGTGTGGTTAAAGTACCCTGTTTTCTGTTGTTTCTCCGGTTTTCATACACCCAGACGTCCTGTATGGAGCTCAGTTTAACTCGGGTCTGTGGAGAGGTGGAGGGACAGACTCGACTGCTCAGCAAGCTGTAAATGAAAGTAACAGTATGGTAAGCTGTTAACTTATAGGTAGATCTAACAATAGTTTGACTGCCATAGACAAATAAAAGATAGATATATTAACGAAATAAATAAAATATTGAAGATATATTGACTGACATGGATAGAAACAGCTGCAATTAATTTTTTTTAACATAAATATCTGTTTAATATATAGAGATTTATTAAATATTTCCTTTCATGAAAGACAGGAGATGCAGTATTATCAGAAGCAGACACAGTGCTGATAAAGGATGAGATGTTTGAGGAGGACCAAACACAGCAGAGACTGTTCATCAGAGATGGTGGTGAGTGTATAGGAGAATATAAGCCACCTGTTATAAAAGTAACAGAGGTTAGGAGGTAGCTAACAATACCCATTTTTACCCAAAGCTTGTCTTGACACTGTTTCTCTGCTTTTAGGAGTAAAAGAGACGCCATCTCAGACTGGAGAGGCAGGTTTTGGTGATGTTCAGATGGTGAAAGATGATGATCAGGTCTCTGGGATGCAGCAGCCGACTTTGGAGGTCAGTGGATCTGACACTGCGCTTAAATCTGAGCCAGAGTTTGAGAGTGTTAAGGGGATATCCCAAGAGCCCATAGAATTACATGCTGCAGGAAAGTTTGATTTGAATGGAAAATCCAGTCCTTTGAGGGATTATTTAATACAAGGGAGTGACAAAGCAGACTCACGGCTACAATCTTGCACATATGTGAACAATGCAAGATCGGCTGAGAGCCAATGCACAGGCCCTTTGCGCCGTTCAGAGGTCATAGAGGTCGACTCTGCAGAGGAGGGGGAAGAGATTGCTGTGTGGGCTAGCAAAGTAGCACGAGGGAAAAGCCAAGCTCCACGTGTTTATCCCCAATTCGCGAGGGAGGAACGTCAGGATAGCAGGATCCTCTTGCCTTCCTCCAATCCGCCTCTGGTAACGAATGACTTTGCAGCAGTGGCATCAACATCTTCAAAAATACAGGGCACAGACAGCTACCCCAATGTCAGAGATGTCATATTTAACCAACAAAGAGTTGCTTGGACTAGAAATGACAGAGTTCCTCGTGAAAAACTCTTTGCCTGCACATATTGTGGCAAAGTTTTTAACCGCCCCAAAAAGGTGGTGATCCACCAGCGGATTCACACGGGTGAGAAGCCATTCAAGTGTAACACCTGTGGGAAGTTCTTTGCAGAGGCGGGAAATCTGAGAAAACACCAGAAAGTCCATACAGGAGAGCGACCGTATAGTTGTTCTCAGTGTGGACAGACGTTTGCCTGGATACGAAACCTCAAAAACCACCAACAGAAGTACCATGCTGATATGTTAACTGCAGAAGAACTGCTTTCTCTAGGAGTCAATAAATGATCACCAGATTACTGCTCATGAGTGTGTATTATACCACCATCATATCTCTTCTGGATAAGACTTTCATTTAAATTATATACATGATTTACATAGTTTTTTTTTAGTCGAAGTGTGTTTTTATATAATTAGCAAATTCATAGTAAAGCTCTGTCCTGTGGTGTACTGTACAAAAAGATGAAGCAACTTAATCTGCAATAGTTTTTGGTATAATAAGTGTTCAACATGTTTAAATAAACATTTCTGCACTCATTTTGTGTTTGTCTTTTGAAGAACATTGGTCTTATAAAAATGATGACTCTGAAGGCAGGAAGTTGGAGGAAGTAAAACCTTATGGAATCATCAGGTGGTCACTGCCTTTGCAACCACAAGTGTAAAATTTCCTTACCAATATCAGGACAGTTAAAACTTATTTAACTAATATACAGAATTTAGTCAGCACTGTGCAATAACATAACTATGACGTGATGAGTAAAATGTGATACATGATTAGATCCACATACCTGACTAAAGGAAACCACCATTGTTAAATACTAATAAATCATACTCTGGTTGTTCTGCAGTGGCATACATACTTACACACTTTAATTTTTAAAGAATGAAACGTCCACAGCTATTTGTACAGTCAGACTTCAGTTATTAGGAACCTTATGACACCCTTACAATCCACTGAACACAGTTCATCATATACAAGAAATTGCTAGTTAATTTGCACACGGAAAGCTTCACACATTTCGGTAAATTACCTTGATGTTTATGTGCCAGCCAGGGCCATGTTGTAACACAAAACCTTGTTTCATGTGTTCAGCAGCAAGGACAGGTGGAAGTCGGAGAACCAGAAACAATAGTGATAAAGGAAGATCTAAACGACCAGTGGGAAAGAAGCCAGGCACAAGTTGTAATTGTACAAGATGGTGAGTAGAGGGCCAATGAGTCCTCTATTTGATGCTTAAGTCAGTGGTAGAATATTATGATACCATCTGTGTTGAATTAAATGTCTTTGTTATAATAAGAATAGATGCATATATTTAATTAAAGGGAGAGTTCACCCAAAAATAAAAATGGTCATCATCAACTATTTTTGTAACACATGTATGTATGTATGTAACACATTGTAACACATGTATGTATGTATGTAACACATTGTAACACATGTATGTAACACATTTACATACTTCTCCCTGGAATCTAGTATCCAATAAAATGACCATTCGTTCTCTGTCCTCAGCAGAGTCTAATACAGAATTTTGTAGCGGAAGACTTTCTACCTCACCAGCCAAAAGCACAGATGCACCTGGTACAGAGAAGGTTTGTTGATTTACTGCTCTCTTAAGATGCAAGAAACTAGCACAGAGCTAAATAGTGCCAACAGGAAAGTGTCACGCTACAGCTGCAAAGTAAAAAGTAAGCCACTTTAGGATCAAAACAAAACAAATGAATGTAGTTTTATTTTACTTCCAGCCCATAGAGGTGGAATTTTCCCATTCGAGAGAAAATGGACAGGATAGGAGCCAGAGAACCAACATTTCTTCATCCACCGGACTGCATATACAGGGTGAGTAAATGAAAAGAAGTAAACAGATGAAGATTTAACCTTTCAATGCGTATATACACTGAATATGTACGTATAAGCACACTGTATAAAGCTTTTAAACTAAACAGATTTGAATGTCATCTTAAATTTAGAGCTAAGAGTATTTGCAGATTAAAAGTGGTCTGACAGTATCTGAACATATTTACATCCAGGTACTGTTGAGTCCAGTCCAAGTAGGCCTCAACAGCACCAGTACCACAGGTTTGCTGGTCGACCTAGCAAGGGTCTAACAACAGGAGAAACTGCAGCTCTCACAGGCTCAGGGCACGTACACAAGGGAATGGTGAAAAGCAGAACTTCACCCACGAACCAGACTCTGCTCAGCAGAGAAAAGACAGCCACTGAAATGTCAGGAACAGACTGCTTGTTGTATGACAGACCTGCAGAACCTAAAACCAGCTTTATGCACTGGCCCACACATCCATCCTGCTCATATACAAATTCGGACCAGGATCAAGACTGTATGCTGGTTCAGTCAGAGACTGTATCATCTATTAGAAACTCCAAAGGTGGATGGGATGGAGCATCATCTACCCGAACACATGCTGTAAACAATGCAGGAGCAGCAGAGGGGCCTATAAGAGAAGAGGAAAGGTGGAATCAAGCCGACATTTTGAGGCAAAGCCAAACTGAGGCATCAGGGCAAATCAGTAGTCCCGAAGTGATTCAGACAGAGACTGCAAGTAGAACAAACCCTTCATATTTCACTGTGATTCCCCAAATGATGTCCAACTTACCTCAGCCTGGGGCTTCTCATGCCAGGCTGCAACTACCAAAGCACATAGAGAAAGGTAGACGGAAAAGCTACGTTTGTAAGTATTGTGGAAAGGCGTTCCCTGGGTTGTCCAATGTTGTGGCCCACCAGCGAGTGCATACAGGGGAGAGGCCCTTTAGGTGTGATACGTGTGGGAAGCTTTTCACAGAGGCAGGCAACCTCAAGAAACACCAAAGAGTTCACACAGGAGAGAAACCCTTCATCTGTCCCCGCTGTGGGAAACGATTCGCCTGGATCTGCAACCTCAAGACCCATCAGCAGTCGGCCTCCTGTGGAGGAGTCTGATATAACATATCTGATGACAATGCAGGGCTTCCAACTCCTGCCTCTTATGAACCCAGCAGTCTTCTGAATGTCAAAGGAATCATTATAATATTCATGGAATAATTTACACAAGAAAGAAAAGGGGCATAAGAAATAAAAATAGAAACATTAATAGGAAGATTAAGGTCGGTAGATTAGCATCGGTTAAAGCAATTTGTCTTCGGTGTGTTTTAATGTTGACTGTCCGTGAATTGTAATATTAAAAGTGAGCAGCAGGTGGTGCACGAGAACAAATAAATGGAGCGTCCATCGGCGTTTCCTTTTGTATTACCCGCACGGTATAAACGGATTTTGCAATACAAAAAGTCTGCTTTCTTTAAATACTGTAAATATTGTTATTAAAGGTATGTCATCATATAGAAATGTCGTTGTGTGTTAGGTGAAATCGTTGTTTGTTTCGAATATCTTGGCCAAATGGTTTTGAGTATCTGCCCGGCTAGCTCAGTCGGTAGAGCATGAGACTCTTAATCTCAGGGTCGTGGGTTCGAGCCCCACGTTGGGCGCAAGGGTTTTGTAGCGCCTTTCTTTGTGAATGGGTTTTTTTTTCCCCAGAGAGTAGTTCTGCCAACACAACCTGAACTCTAAACGTTGATCTGATATTTTCCAACATCTTGCATATCCTAGCCTATCAGATATCCAACTGACAACTCACTGTGGAAACTGTTGAAATTAGTTTATATATCTTGTAGATGTCTGCAAGATTAGATTTTATGTAAATTAGTTGCTTCTTTAAAGATCTTTTGAAACCTTTATGATTCATATGTTAATCTAAGATTTGAAATAAAACTGTAAAAGTTGTTGAAGCTGAGAATTAAAAATTAGTTTCTTTATGAAAAAAGGAACGAAATATAATGCTTGAAATAATAATAAAAACACAGAGAAATAAAATACTTAGCAGAGGATGGTTTCGATCCATCGACCTCTGGGTTATGGGCCCAGCACGCTTCCGCTGCGCCACTCTGCTGTTATGCGCTGTTAGTGTTTGTTTTGTACATATGAGTTTCTTGATTGTTGCTTCCTATTCAGAAACATTATGTTTATAGTCTTTTGGTTCGTTTTTGTGGCTTTTTGGATATTTTATCGATCCATTTATGAGACAGAATGTATTTAAAATGGTTTCTTTTACATACCAGCCGACACTTGATCATACCATTCTCCAGACGATTTTCTGTGATATTCTTATACCTGTGTATCTATGGTGTTCACAGGCGCAAATCCTTTAGCACAATATACTATTTAGAACTTTTTAACATACAATGCGGCTTGTTGTGTCGAGTGACTTAGTTGGACTGTAAAAAAAAAAATTCTCATTCCCTGACCGGGAATCGAACCCGGGCCGCGGCGGTGAGAGCGCCGAATCCTAACCACTAGACCACCAGGGAGAGCTGCTAAAGTTGTTTCGCGTAAATTGTTAAAGGGGTCATATAATGCTGCTAAAAAGAACATTATTTTGTGTATTTGGTGTAATGAAATGTGTTTATGCGGTTTAAAGTAAAAAAAACACAA